CAGTACCTTGAAACTCACTAGCGTAATGGCATAATAATAAGAAAATGTACTTCTATGGTTTTAACTTTGAGCTCACATTTCGAAGAATTCACTTATACTTTAAATAGTTTAAATGATCTTTAGTAAAAGTTTATTACATTAAAAACTAAAATGTTCTATTTAAAAATAACCTAAATTCCAATCAACATATTGACATAATTGTAAATAGAGGTTACAAAAATCTAGGTTTTATTGTAATATGTGGTTTTATCATGACACAAAGGAGTTTTCGGTAAATACCTACTACAAAAATGTTGTATTTTAGTTTTGTTAGATCTAGTTTGTAACTTGCTGCCCCAGTATGGCGCTAAGACACAGTAACAAGATCACAATGTATTGAAATAATTCAAAATAAATTTCTGGTTTACGTATGTGAAAAAAAAAGAATTTACCAATTTTCGTCGTAGAATTGCTCAATGTTTAGAGAAAATTGGCAGACATTTGAGCGGTTACCTGTTAATTACTAATTTAACTAGGTCTTTATTACTTTTGTTAGAAATGCACGATGTTAATTTACTGTTTTGGATACTGCATGCGTGTGTTCTTGTTGTCTTCTCATAATTTGCATTTGTTGTTCTTCCCTCCTTCAGTTTTACAAAATACTTTATACGAGGATATCTTTGTAAATCTAGATTATTAGTTTGGTAAATACTTGTCAATAAACAGTTACTATGAGTTTTACTAATTATTCTATTATCTATTTACTAATTCTTCTTTAGAGTAATTCATTTCACTATTATTACTGTCGCTTTTCTATTAAACCTTATGCGAATCGAAAATTTTCCAGATTATCCTTTGACAGGAGCCTACTACGTTATTTTACATATAAGCTATTTGTAAACTTCGCATTTTTTCATAGAAATGAGATTTCATGAAAAACTAATGAATTTTGGTATAGGAGCGAGTATAGCAAAGTTGTAGAGAATATTAATTCTGCATCTCATGGTATGAAAATATACAGGGTGTTGCATTTAAAAAATACGAAATTTTTCAATTTTTCAATTGGCAATTTTGACATGATATTTTGGTCACCCTTTAGTACCCTTTATTTTTGATGTAGAATCCGAAAAAAAAATATATAAAAAATGTGTTTCCATTTAAAAAACCAAAATTGGTGTCTGGCCAGGAAAAGTGGAACACCCTGTATAGTTGAATATATTTTTAATTTGTACATTCCGAGAAATGTGGCGACACAGAAAAAAGAAAAATTCATATATTCCTCATTTTAACATAGATATTGGACTTTCCCGCACTAGTGGGACACGCTGTATAAAAAAGTTAGTATTTTCGTAGATTTCAGTACCTAAAACCTTAATGGTTTGAACGTTTTTTGCACCTGTTTATTCGTTTACTACGGCGTCTTTGAAAATACTCATATGGCATGACATAACATTCCTATTATTTGATAAGCTTTCTTTGTGGAAAACACTATTTAAAGAATACGGCGCCCTTAAGTCAATTTGAAACGAAAGTTTTGTTAACGATCTATATGTGGTTTAACTAAATTTATAAAATCAACCATTTGACTGATCCTTTTAGAGTAAAGGGTTATTTATTTATATTAAAAAAAAATCTGTTTAGATTGGCAGAAATACCGAATTAAATAAAAAAAAACTCCAGAAATTATATCATAACATTGACTTAGAAAACAACAACATACGTAGAAAGTTATATGCATGCATCTACAAAATTATTTCGAGGAACATCGGCCTAAAATAAAATAATCTCCAAAGGAATTTTTAACCGCACGCAGAACGATTTCGCCGGGCTACGAGATCGGCTGCACATAGAAGCCGATTGACCTTCTACGATCTGCACTTGATACGGACGCAGTATCCTTGAAGTGGCTTGTGACCGACCACCGGTCTGGTCAACGACTTCGCCAGTTCCATAACTCCGGTTAGTCCGCTTTTTAGCGTTACCAAAATCGACACGCTCCCAAAACTTTCGATATCTGATATTAATAACCAAAATGTGACATGGTGTTACAGATGTATTCGAATCGGATTTTACGCCGGTTTTAATAGGGTTTTGGGCAAAATAAAATTTAAATAAACAAGAACAAGCGTTTTAAATAGCATATATTCTATTATTAGCGGTCGTATTTTTTTCTGTTGTAAGTGTATTCACTAATTCAAACAAATTCAAAAGAATTTTGCTACAAAATCTTATCTTATTCGATACCAAAAGGTATCTAACTCCACAGACACGCTGAACAGGACAAATCCTTCCTAACCTTAAAAAAAAACTTAAAAATCCACAAAATTAATAAATTAGCTTCTATGATCCAGGTATGATTTAACAGCGACTGAAAAAATAGCCTTTAACTTTGTTAAAGATCCCCTATACCTAAATTAAATTGATAAACATTTATTTAGTTCTTTATGGGTCGCTACTCTAATAGAATTCGGTGATATATGCTATTTTATTTGGGACACTAATAAATACTGAAAGAACTAATACGAAGGTGTGAAAAATGTTTAGAAGTTGAAAGAAGACATTCTGGACATTTATAAAAATAAATTTGACAATTAAAAACCTGTGACAGCCAACCTAAAATGTGCGAAACAAATGGAAACATCATTTTAGGAAAAGGGAAATGTTTATTCGTAAATAAAATGAAAACCACTGGATTTAGGGGAACTTTAACAAAGTTACACTTAATTTTAACGCAGAATGTGAATACGTTAAAAAAAATAGGGGTTTCCATTTAAAAATTTCGACGGTTCCGCATTTTCTGAACTTCATATTTGATAAATTTTTTTGACCACCCTGTATAAAAACTGGAAAATTTTCATGACAAATTCGATAAATTAGGTCTTCTACAAAATGTCCAATTTGCACAAAAAAAAATAAATCTATGTTTCCGGGAAAACTAAATATTGCCGAGTCTGCATGTGTCAATTTTTGGTTAAAAATCAAAATATCTCGGAAATGGTCAATCCAAAGTAAAGAGTGTGCTATATGTTTTCAACTTAAAAATAAATGCTATTTCCAAAAATGTAATAATATACAGGGGGTTCCATTTAAAATAAGAAAGTTGGTATCGACTTCCGGCATAACCGGAAGTACGATGACCTTGAAAATATTTTAGTTTGGTAGGCCCCACGGTCCGTATCACATCATCACAATTTCAATAAATCCTTAGAGTGGTCTCCCAGATATCCATCGATGGAGTTCGTGGTGGGACTCCCTATATATTTGTGCATTATTTGTAAACTTAAAATTTTAAAATTAGAAGATCTCACCACTATCTTCAACCGCTGATAAATCATACCTGGATTTTAAATGTTGATTTGTCGATTTTGGGGGTTTTAAAACATTTTTTGATATTAGAATATTCTGGTGGTTTGGGCAATTCTGACATCGGATTCAAATCCAGCGACTCAAAATACCTACATAAGAATAAAGTGCTCTGGTCATTTGCACAAGACTTTTTTTATTTTGTGGAGCTGTGTAATTATACAAAATAAAAGCTAAAAATAACATGTCAACATTAGGGTTGCCAACTTTTACGTTCTTATTTTCAGGACAAAGTAGCTACAAATTCAGAACAATGGCGAAAATTAAAGACATTTATTATCTGTCTCATAAAACAAACAAAACTACGAGTATATATTTTTGGTAAAAAAACATGAATCGTAGAACATATTTTCGTTCATAAATTATCTACAACAAAATATGAAATAAACTTTAAAAACTACAAATAAAACAATATAGAATAAAAATATGTTCTTTGGTTTGAGATTAACTAAAAATGTAAAAATGTAAATAAATATTAAACTTTAAAGAAATAAGTAATTAAACAAGAATGCAGAGAGATTTTAGTTATACAGGGTGTATCTAAATAACACCGAAAAAATGTAAGGGGCGATTCTCTGATGAAAATTAATAGGGATCTTTGGTATAAAATTTTTTGAAAAAACTCTCCCCTGAAAAGTTACGCCCCTCCAAAAATTTCAAATAAATTTGTTTTTCTTTTTTATCTCCCATGTATATCAAGCTAAAGAAAGCAAACTTCATCATGTAAATATTTTTATTTTTTTTTTTTTAGAATTGTTTTAATTCCGATAATATAGGTTGACTTAAACACATTTGGCAACGCTGATAGTAAACTAATACCCAAATTCCGGGTATTTGGAACATCCCGATACTAAACATACAGACTTCGTAAACAATTATATACTGAGCTTAGGCAACTAACATTGCACGGCTGGTAATGTCAACTAAAAATCCCTAATTCTTAGCGTCACCAATATTAATGATTCGTTTACAATGAACAAAAACAAAAAATTTCTAAATAGTGCACCATTAAAGTTTGGTCAAGAATTTTATTTACACTTTGTATGTTAAAAGAGGTGCCGTAACATTTTAAGTCATGGTTCAAATTCGTAACAACTAAATGATATTTTGTCATAAGTATGTATTTCGCATTCATTCAGAAATAGTAAAACATATTTTCAATTGGTAACATACAAAATATACAGAAGTTTTGAAATTATTCCAAACTTCTTACATGTGAAATAAAAAAGTACACTTTTGGTGAAAAAAAAAGTTAGGGGGCACCCGGGTTTGAACCGGGGACCTCTCGATCTGCAGTCGAATGCTCTACCACTGAGCTATACCCCCAGTGCTTCCACACTTTACTACGAGCGGTAATAAAATATCGATTGGTTAAAAGTAAAAGGGTCGTTACACTATAATATGAAATTATAATAATCTAATGAAAATATTAAACGTAACAAAACAATTGTTTCACCTTCTGTCACTTAGGCAAAGAAAATATAAGACGATTATTAGCCCACTCAAGTGTACATTATACAACCAGCAGTGCACAGAGGTGCGTTGCAGGTTGCCTGACAATTATTTCATACCATAAAGAACAAAATATAAATGTTTAGTATCTTACTAAAAGGTAGTAAAAATCAAAATTAATTAAACCTTACTAAAAAATTACTTACATATTATCTGTAACTTGTGCTTTTCTCCCAGTTTCTTTTTTTGGAACAGCTGCCCTGGCTGTACGCGATTTTGTAGTTTCTTTCTGGAAACATAACACAACACATTACCAAAAAAATATAGAGGAAAATATACCAATACAGTTTGAAAAGAAATGTGAGATCATAAAGAATAAACATCAAAATTAATGCACCACTAAAAATCAGTCCTTTTTTTAATCATATCATAAGTATATTCCCTGGTAATGCTATGAAGATACAAATTTTTATTGAAATTTCAATTTTCGACGTCTTCAGGAATCGTATTCATTTTACCTGGAAATTGAAACACCCTATAAGGGTGTGCCAGCTAAAATAGCAGATGTCTACTTTAATAGAACTGTAGTCCCATCCTTAATAATTTGTTGAAAACTGTAAAAAAACAGTGACAAGGAAAAAATTAAAAACGAAGAATATCAATAATTAAAACTACAAATAACATATGATGAATATTGTCTATATTTTGAAGTTCTTTAAGGAAATCTATTTAATTACATAAAAAGTAGCAAAATCTGAAATATTATGTAAAACATAACTGTTGTACACAATATGTGTAATTTGCGGAGATAAATTATTTGAAAGGGTATAAGGTGTAATTTTGTTATAAGCGACTAGGCCTCTACTTCTGAGTCAACTGATTTAAACAATTAGTATAATAAAGAGAATTAAATTACTTAATTTGTAACCTCAGTGCATGAATCACATTATACTTGGTATCTCGACTTCCTTATAATACTTTTGTAAAAAAAGAAGTATATTTCTAGCAAATATAAACTGAGACAAACTGAGATAAATCAAATAAGATGTAGTGAAATAAAAAACGTTTTTACAGAAAGGGAACTATCAAGTTAATTCAAATAAATTAAAATACTTTTCTAAATAATCTTACCATATAAAGTCAAACGAAGTTCTTCAATACCAGAAATTTAGGTATGCACAAGATATAATTTTTAGTTTTAATTTTGGATGATTGTTTACAACTAAATGTTTACTAGGTATTCTAGAACTTAGTTCAGTGCTAGTTAGGGCACGAGACCCATAGAGTAGCTGTTTCCCCGCAATATCAGCAGAAAGGAGTCTTGTTTGTGGGGTTAAATATCTTTTGCATACCCAGATTTCTGGTATACAGTAAGTGAATTGAGTTTACAAGGACAAATGGACAAAAAGCGAAAGACACGAAAAAAAGGCATTCTTGATAAAAGTTTTTGCTTGGTTACAAAATACGAATCACCATGATGAACTTCAATTTTGTTGTACAGGGTCGGTCAAAAACACAAAAATGTTATTTTGCGTAAGAGTATACATACCTTATTTGCAAGATACGAAGAAAAGGCATTCTTGGTAAAAGTTTTTACCCAAAAAATATTATTAACAGTCGCGTTATCACAAATTTAATTTTTTATACTTGGACCAAATCTATTGTTACCTGTTACCTCACGAAAATTTAATCGCTAAAAAATTAAACGAATTTCTAAGTACGATATTCTATTGTAGGTGTTATTGTAAAACCATAGGCCTATAATGCCATGAACAGATATCGCGCATCATAAGTTCACTTTCGTAAAATATTGTCTTCGTGTCATTATTCTAAATTCATAGTTTTCTGGAGGACAATACCTGATGTGCTGGGATGCTACAGTTCCATCAGTAGAAAATATACATTCATCAGAAGACATAACATAATAAACTTATAAAAATCAACATTTCCATTTAAAATTTTGTCTTCTATCCACAAACAAAAATCTAGTCTTTTCGCTTCATCTCCGTCTTCCAATGTTTGATTAAAGTGTGGTTTGAACGGAAATATATATTTTAAATCTTCTGGACATGACTTTTTTCACAACTTATAACTGTTTATCACGATTTTTAAGGGACATCTGAGGAGTTTCTCTAAAAGACTGCAGAACTAAAACTAGTAGCATCGTTATGATCATATTTCTTCAAATTTAATTTTTGATAGCGTGACTGTTATTCATTTTTCAAGCCAAAACTTTGATCAAGAATGCCCTTTTTTCGTATCTTGCAAATTAAGGTATGTTTGCTTTTACACAAAATAACATTTTTGTGTTTTTGACCCACCCTGTACAACAAAATTAAAGTTCATCATGGTGATTCGTATTTTCAAAACAAGCTAAAACTTTTATCAAGAATGCCTTTTTTGTATCTTTCAATTTTTGGTACATTTGTCCTCTTGTAAACTTATTTCGCGGACATACTGTAGAAGATTGTAGATCATTGTTTGACTTTCAGATTTTTTAGAAAGTAAATTTCAATTCATCTGAATTAGTTCATCATCTTTGAAAATAGAGCAAAAATATATATTTTTAAAAAGAAAGGAAATTATTGAAACAATACTGTAAATTGATAAAAGAGAGTACATAATTTATACTTTTCAGAAATACATAACTGTCGTCTAAAAGTGATTGATTTGGTAATTTCTATCCTGTCAATAATAATTTATTATCATACTTAATCAATCAAAAAGATCAAGAAAAGATTGAGGAATACCTACTGCCAAATTTGACTTTGTCTAACTTATAATTTTATTAAAAATATAATATCATAGAGGAAGTAGGTAAATCACAATTCGTTATTGTTTGAAAAAATATGGAAGACAACTGTTAAAAAATTAATATCACTATATTTTTGAGTAATAGTTTGTGGGTTATGAATTTTGGAAGTAAATCGATGTATATCTAATTTTCTTAAATTTCATTGAACTGAAAAAACACAATACACGCTTACGAGATTTTCCAGATATTATAACTCAAAAACAAACATAAATTTGTTAAAAATTTAAGGGCGCTCCAATTTCAAAAATAGGTATTTCTAGTGAGGAAATCTATTGGCAATTAGATCCTTCACTGATGTATTGTCAAAATTCATGGCATTTAAATGATTAGAAGCGGAGTTATTGCATCTGAAGTGACAGTATGTTTGTGTCATCGCATCGGTACAAAAATGGGCATCGAATAAAGAGCTAATATTAAGCTTATTTTAAACTTGGTAAAACTTTTAGGCGGTTTAAAAACTGTCTGGAGGATATAAATGATGAGCAACATGTTGGCCAACCGAAATCCGTGATCACCGCAGATTCCATCGAAATTATGCGTGAATTTTGCAAAGATGAGCCAACATCTGTGCAATTCACGGAATTGGAATTCAGTAGGTATATCAAAAACATCAATTTATCGCATTTTGGCTGAAAAGTGCGTGCACGGTATGTTCCGCACGAGTTGACTAACGACAAAAAATTGTTCAGAATTTAACATTTGAAGAATATCATCCAGGAGTCCTAAAAGGACAAACCCTTCATTTACAACATTGTGACTGGTGATGAAACGTGGTGTTTTCAATACGATCCAGAAACCGAGCGCAAAAGTGCCGAGTGGAAGGAGCCAACCCAAAAAATCTCGTTTGGAGAAGTCAAATAAGAAGACAATGTTGATTTCCTTTTACGATTCCACACAGGTGGTTCTTTGAGCAAATAATTTGAAAAATAGCAGAAATTTTGCTGCTTCACACTCGAACACTCAAAGTGACAGCTATTATTCATTTTGTCAAACAATAACAAAAACGAGTGCACAACCAACTTGCTAATTTCTGTTTAGATAGTAAATAGTGAATCTAAAAACTGATTTTTTTAGACTGATGTTAACTGCGAGGAATAATAATTTTTTGTAATAAAATTGGTAGAAATGAGTGCATAATTTTTTTTTCAAATTATTGAAACCGGATGTAACATGCAATAAATCGATTTTAATTTTTTTACTCGAAAACGGTGAGTCATAAGAAAAACAGTCGAGATACCTTTTCTCTTCCAAATTGAACAAGGAATTCAAAAATATTATTATTTTAAGAAAAATCAGTGGTGTATCATTTTTTCCTTTAAAAATATCCAAAGACGTGCCTGTTTGCGCGCCACTGGTGAAACTGAAAACAATATTTTTATCGTAAAACATGTATTGTTGTTAATTGTCGAAGCTTGTAAAATTTCATTAAAATATTCTGAGCGGTTTCCGAAATACATATTTATAAATTTGCATTTTTTCAATAAAACTTTACCTCCCTGTAGATCAGAAACTAAGAGTTTTCGGAATATGGTACATATATTAAGGAAACATATCACATATCACTTGCACTATAACCATCGACTTACCAAACACCCCATATATCACCATGTATATCAGACTATATATCACGATAATTAAATTATGATATACAGGGTGGTCCGAATTTTATGCAGGAAACTTCGAGGGTAGATAGATCTCTTTAAAATAGTAGGTGTTTGCCTCGGTGTTTGCCTTATAAACATAGGTCTGGAATTTTTTGCTTATATCTCCGGAATCTATTAACCGATTTCAATAAAATTTAGATAATGTATGACAGTAGGCCTTGTATTTCCTAAAATATGAGATCTAAAGATTCAACCAGTGGTGTACAACTGGACAAGGTCACCCACTTTTTTATAAAAAAAACCTACGCCACTGTATTTTTTACACGCTATTGTAAAGGATTTATATTCTATTGCACAAAATAAGTAAAAAAGGTAACTCGAATTTTTTCCCTAAAGTTCACCGTTCTCGAGTTATTCATACCAACACAATCCCCTTGTAGCAGACACTTCTAAACATAATATTATAAGAATACTTATTTATATTTATGCTTAAAAGTAATTGCAATTTGTAAGCATATCAACAAAATTCTTTACACTCGTCGCTTTCATCTTTTGTAATAAAAGGCACAGAAATGAAATTTTAAGAGTATTTGATGACGATGTTTGGCTGAGTACACGAATAACGTCTCGGCAACTTGGAGTGAGTAAATTTGAAAAGTTCTACATAAGGATGGCAGAAATCCTGCAAAATCCTGCAATCTGTGCAAAATTTACTAATTTTTATCAGAATTCTTACTAGAAATACTTTGGACCGATGAGGCTGCGTTCACAAAGCGAGGGGTAGTGAATTTTCACAATTTGCATATTTGGTCACAAGAAAATCCTCATGAAATTCGGACAAAATCTTTTTAACACGAATTTTCTGTGAAAGTATGGCTCGGAATAATTCGCAATAAAGTATGTGGACCTTTCTTCTTGCCACCCCATTTAAATTCCCAGCCATTTCTAAACTTTCTAGAAAACCATCTATTTGAATTATTAGAGGATGTTCCATTAAATATACGACAAAATACTGGATACAAATGGATGGTGCTCCTTGAGGAGAATAATACAAGAATGGCTTAACGAAAATTATATGGGGTGATGGACAGGCAGAAGACCAAATTCCAATGTCAACCATAATGTTGGAGAGGGTCCAGTGTCTCGGCCAGCCGCCAGATCTAAACCATTTCTATGTTTGGGGTTACCTATCTGAAAAGTAAAGTTTACTCCAATAGATACTAGACTACAACTACTGTAGCGAATAGAACGCAGGTGTAATGAATTAAAAGAAAACCACCACATGTTATTAGCTTCAATTAGTTCCATTAATAGAAGATGTCAGAAATGTATGGATGTGGGTGGTTCGCATTTTGAACAATTGCTGTAAATACGTAACGTTAATTTTGTTTATTGTTTAGTTGTTGTTGCTTGGTAAATGTATTTTTATTATTATTTTGATAAATTATTCTTATTTGTAAAGATTAGGCCTCCAGGGAAAACTAAAATACACCAGGCAGACTACCTCACAGGTGATATGGAAAGAATTTTGTTGATGTGCACTTACGTTTAAGCATAAACATAAATAATAATATGCTTATAACATTATGGTTAACCCCACAAGTGGATTGTATTGGTATGAATAACTTGAAAATGGTGAATCTTAGGAAAAAATTCAAGTTATCTTTTTTACGTAGTTAGTGCATTAGAATATAAATCCGTTACAATAACTTGTAAAAAATACAATGGCGTAGGTTTTTTTATAAAAAGGGGGTGACCCCTGTCCAGTTGTACACTACTGGTTGAACCTATAGGGCTCATATTTTAGGGAACATAAGGTCTACTATCATACATTATATGTACCAAATTTTATTGAGATGGGTTAATAGATTCCGGAGATACAAATAAAAAATGATTTTTTTTAACAACTTCAACACCCTGTATCTCTAAAACGAGGCCGTTCCAGACCTATGTTTATAAGGCAAGCTCCTATTATCTTAAAGAGGTATATTTGTCCTCGAAGTTTCCTGCATAAAATTCGGACCACCCTGTATCACGGATATTTATAACAAATGTAAAATTTGCGAGTCTGTTAAAAAATGTAGTTATTCCGATAAAAAATAAGTGCACGGCGACAGATTAGGTAAAGTAAGAGCATCTAAACTTGTTTTTTTATTTAAATATCCCAACGAACTATTTCGAATGAATGCAAATTAGGCTGGATTTGGGAAGTGACGAATGATGTATATTCGTCTGATGATGAAAAACTAATTAGTTATGTGAAGTGAAATCATTTAAATTGATTACTATTTTCAAATTTTATTTGTTCAATGAAACTATAATATTATCGACCTTAGCTCAGTTTTTATTATTTTGTGATCGTATTTATTATAATATTGTATTCTTCTCTAAATAAAAAAGTACAGTAGCAATAGATTCTTATTATTTATCGGTTTTTTACATCAGCAAAAAACAGACAAGCATAACAAAATAAATATCAAAATTTGATTTATATCAGATATGATATTTATATAAATATCATGATATTTTCGACCTCTGAATTCATTTAAATTCCCTGCATCTAAAGAACGATGCAGAATGTAGAATTGAATATTTGATTGATTAATAATTTACTGGAAGATGTTACGACGACACTTTTAACAAAGGACAATCTCTCTGTTGGACATAAAGGACTACCTATGTCTACCTGTTCAGATAGTATTCAACAAAATGTGACACAAAACATTTCGTTTTCTTCACATAAATCAAATAAAGCATGACAAATCCTAATCTTTGAATTTTATTCATTTAAGGCAAATTATTTATTATTTCATCGCAAAAATACTAATTTCAACCGAAAAGTATTCTCTTTAATGCACTTAACTCTTTCCTAATTACGTTAATTAAGTAAATTTCACCTAATTTAAAAAAAAATACGTTCACAAACCAAATTTTGAGGTTATAGCAACATGTGGATATAGTTGCTATCTATCTATCGCATGAGCAATTTTGCTTTAAAATAAAACTAAAACATAAATTATTGGATGCACCAAATTCTGTTATTATCCGAATTAGTTTACTGTTAGATTGACAATTGAATATGAAACCTTAAAATCCTTGATACTATTGCTAGCAATCAAAAATATTATCATGTTTGTGGCCTTGAAGACGTATAGTCACATCACGCAATATTCACTAAACGAATAAGGAAAACATTTACCTTTATGGAAAACATATCGTCCAAAAGGCCCATATCATTAATGTTCAAATTTACCACACCTGTTGCACTTTATCAAACTAACAACCAACCGTTAAAAATGGCGTACTATCCATTGAAAACTGTTTAAAATTCAAGTCTGTTCTATTTCCCTTATCTTATCACCGTTTCTTATCAGGAATACACTCGCATTTTAGGGGAATAATGCCTCAGATACGATACCATAAATATTATGATTCATATAAAAATAGTCGATAATCTAAATCGTAGAGATAAAATAGGTGCGTACGTCGTTATCTCGGGTGAAACAAATTTAGATACAAACATGCAAATGCGGATAAATTGAAGATATCTGTTATTTTTAAAACGACTGGCTCCCATTGGGAGAGGAATTTTAAACACACATCTACCTGCAACGAGGAATTGCCGATGTGCCGTTATGCATCGGTATTTTAAAAAATACGGCCCTGAAATCTACCTTGCCCGAGGGCGCGTTGCCCGTTCGGATAAGATCCACGTTACTCGATTGGATTTTTTTTTCGTTTTATTATAATACCCATAGCGGTATTCTTTACAACTAATAAACATTACGAATTAATGTGTAATCTGCTTTGCATACCAAAGGCAAGATATTCGGGTTCTATGATTTATTTTTGTGTTGCAATGAACGGCTTAGTCAGGTGATTGACCATGCCCGTACGTTAAAAATATAAAAACGGACTTTGTATACAATTTGAGATTGTACTAAGGTCCCATAATTCCGTCAGTGTTAGGTAACTTGCACATATTTACTTTAATGTTTAGAAATGTTTAATGTTTAATGTTTAATCTATAATCTTAAAAATAATTAATTTTGATATAAAGCACAGGTTTTTAATTAAAAATTAATTAAATTTAATTAAAAAATTTAAAAAATTAATGCGCATGCTTGGAAAGATCTTGTTGATATGTCATCGCTGTCATCATTAGCATATTTTCTGTACTATTCTTTGGTTTGTTCCATTTGCAGGCCATGTAGACAAATTGGTGTGAGCAAAGATGGCAAGAGTGGCAAGAGCTGCCTTGTGATGGCGTATCTAATCCTTTAGGACAGGTACAAGTGCATTTGAAAATTTGTCCATCACTTAGAAAATAATCCGGTCAAAATAGACCAAAAAGTAGTGGTGAGTTTATAATAATTCGCATAGAGCTAAATATTGGTATAGGTCTTTGGTACACTATTATAAGTAAAATGTCAAAAAAGTTCCCACCGATTTGCTGTGTGCTGAAAAATGTCAAAAGGTCAAAGGTCGCAAATATAGGTTTTTGCATTTTTCTCATAAACGGTAAGTTGTCACAAAAACAGATCTGAAAAAAGTTGTAGATCATGTCTACAAAAATTGTTAAAATAGTTTTTTTCCTACAAATCACCATTCCTGTCATATCAACATTTCCTGTTATATCCTGTCATTTTCTGTCATATCAACATTTCAAACATTTAATATAAGATCTATATTGATCTGTTTAACGAAAACTAAACAATTCTGAATGAATATACACTCAAAACACACATGCTACTTACATCATCGATGGAGGAGATCTATTACACCGGATTGTATGGGATAGAGAAGAAACATTTAACGTTATTTTTTATACATTCAGTATGTACATAGACATTTTGGTCATACAGTGACTATACTGTTTGATGGTTATACTAATTATAAGAAAAACATTAAAGCTGCAGATCTACAAAAACATATTCACCTTCTGATGTCATTTTTGCTCCATTTTTGATAGTTCCAACAAACCAACAACAATTTCTTGCAAATACTCACAACAAGTCTCGCTTCGTTTCAATGTTATGTGCGAACATTATAGTAAACCAAGCTGATAATGACGCTGATGTCTTTATAATTGAAACAGCAATAGAGCAATTCAATGAAACAAATACAACCTTCGTTGTTGGTGAAGATGTTGATTTATTAATACTACTGACTGGACGCACTCCATTTGATCGTTTGTTTGATTCGTTTATTACCTGGGAAGGCTCATGAATAATCAAAAATATATTTATCGAAGAGTTTATCATCTTATCCAAAATGTCAAAATCATATCTTATATTTACATGCAATAACTGACTGCGATACTACAGCAGCAATGTTCAGAAGGGGTAAAACATCAATATTTAAATTGGTTGAAAAACGTAATGATTTAATCAATTATTGATTGCGCAAAAGTATTTAAAAAGATTTACTCTTCTCCAGAAGTCATCATCAAAAACGGGATTCGCTTTCCACTTGCTGTTTTCCTCCAACATCAACACTTATATCGAGTATACCTCGGAGTATACTATCAAGATCAAGTGTGGCTAGGCAATCAACTGAACCCAGAAAGAAGACTGGAGTTAGAAATTAATAGATAACATTTTGCAGCCAACAATTGATTGAAATTTTCCCGAAATCAACAATAATTCATTCCAGTTTAATCATAACCAATAGTACCCTTTTCTATTGAATAGAATATTATCTTATAAAACTGAATCACAATACATCGTGGAGTATGCCTACCGGGGAAACCACGTTAAAAAAAACACGCCGAGTACACTATCTCATACGTAGTGCGGAAATTCGTGCACTTCAACTTTTGAAATGATGATATCTCAGAAATGGTGATTCGTAGGAAAAAAAGTATTGGGACAATTTTTGTAGACAATTGAACAGTCTACAACTTTTGTCTAATCTACTTTTATGATAACACTTACCGTTTACGAGAAAAATGCAAAAAGCCGATTTTTGCGACCTTTGACCTTGAATACATTTTTTAGCACGCATGGGATCAGTGTGGACATTTGACATTTTACTTATAATACTGTACCAAAGACCTATACCAATATTTAGCTCTATGCGAATTATTGTAAATTAAAATGTCTATTTTGACCGAATAAAAGCCTAAAAGTTTGTTATGTTTATATAAATATTACCCATAGGTTTATTGTATGTAAACTAGCAGTTTACATCGATTGTATATATTTTCCTCTTCATACTGGCTTAAACTTCACTGATAACTGTAAATTCATGCATTTTTAGTACATAATCAGACGAAATGGAATATTCTCCCTTTTCGATGAGCTTCTTTCCTTCAAAGTATACAAAAATTGCACTCATACTGGTCATTTAGGCATGATAATTAATATATCAAAAATTGTTATAAAACTTAGGAGAAAGAAAAAAAGAAATCACAAAATTGACATACACGTAACCAAACTTTTCTTGAATGATATGCTGCTGCTTACACGAAATTATCTTTAATGCGCATGCTCAGTAACAATGATATAATTTTAATTTATTAATTACTGTAAAAGTCAATATTCTATAATTTTAAATATACAAATTCTATAATTCCTTTAGTTTGTCATTTGGGATTTGAAACTTCTTAAATGTTTCTAATATTGTCAGAACATTGCGTTATTTAAGGTTATGACAAAGAAGACATTTTTTTGGCACCTATGTCAAAGTACATACGGTCGAAAATCGATCTAGTAAAAAAAAATTGGAATTTTTCAATGACAATGTGGACTATGGGGTTGCCTGTTATTTGGCGTATGTAACGTCACTACTAAAAATTTTATTGATCCAGTCTCCCTGAATCTTTCAATTAATCTCTTCAGAGTCGATGAAGTTAAATCACTATTCCGACCACATTTTGTATGAAAATTGTAGAGAACTGTAGCTGCCAAACCATCACTATTTTTAAAATACATATTGCTCAACCATGTTGTTCTTTTGTGTAACACTCCATTTTTTATAACCCCGAACTGTCAGAGGTCATGCTGTCTTTTTTTTCGTTTGTAACACTACCGCACAAATGGTACAAAATTTAAATATTTCGTAAATTCTGGAACGCCCTATATAATCATGTAGTGAAGATATTTGAAATCCCTTAGAGGTTGTTAATTTATTCATTAACGAACAAAGTTTGGCGCGCAAAATAAATGTTTCTAACGGGTGTTTGCTGCCGCGCTAAATCGTGACGTCATTTAGTGCGATCGAAGAGATGAATAGCAGGAACAGGACAACCCAACAGCATGGGCATACTAAGTAACAGAAGTAAAGAGATAGCCAAATTCAGTGTGCTTCAAGGCGTTGGGCTTTTCTTTAGATTAGGTTCCGTCTCGTCGGTATGGGACTGTAGACTAGAAGGTAGACGCCCGAGAAACTGATTGTGTTCTCGGTCGCACTAAATGACGTCATAATACGTTCTTGATAACGTGACAAAAATTAAATGTTTATATAATGTTAAACATCTATGATTACTTTGTAACATTTAGGCCCGGTACTTTGAGACTTGGTTAAAGCTTGATTAATTAATCAGGCGATTAGACTGTGATTATACTATAAAATAAATCAGTATATGTACAGTCTAATCGCCTGATTAGTTAATCAAGCTTTAACCGAAACTCAAAGTACCGGACCTAAATATATTAATTTTTTTACCACTGTTAGTTGTCGGTTAATTAAGCAGTTCTAAAAGAAAGTAAACTTTATTTTTTAAATTTATATTCCAGTGAAAAAAATCCTTTCGATTTCCAGATACAAAGTGATAAAATCTGAAAAAATGCATTAAAATATCTTCTGCGTTCAATTTCTGTCCGTTTCTAAGAAAAAAAAAAAGGAAAAAAATGGAAAAATGGAAAAATGGGAAAACGAGTCTGTTCTCAGTAAATACAATTTTTTTTATTTAAAATAAGTCGACATACTTGAATAAAAAAATCGTAAGTATGTAACTCCAAAAAATCATTGTTGTAAACATTTTTAATTTTCTGAACGGTAGTACCCCGTATCCCCGTCACTGATTGGCAGATTTGTGTACTAACCCAGCAAATTTTTGCCTATAATTAGTTAAGTCATTAGCCCAAGCCTCATCAATCTACGTCAAGAATCTTAAGAGATATATAAATAAATGATATATTTCTTAGATCTCAATACCCTGTAAAGCGTTTCCGAACACATGTTTATAAGAACTTTTTTTGCGAATATGAGACCACCACAATCCACCATTAAACCTTAACGGAGTATATGATTAACGCACTGTATAAACATAAGTTTGCAATTATT